AAAAATGTCAAAAGTCCAAAATTAGTAATAAGATAAGGAAATGTGATAATACCTCCATTCCAATAGCTAAAAACTTTATGTGGATATATTACATTCCCTGAAAATATTACATAACCTGAACCAAACATGAAAATTTTATATTTCAAAACAAATATAACCTTAGTTATATTATATAACTTGAACCAAACACCTCTTAATGTTGTTCTTTGTTTCACAAGTGATGTGATGTTCTTTGTTTCACAAGTGATGTGAAATGAAATAAATATAGAGTTTGTATCTAAGCTCATGTTTAATATTTTTTTTAAATTAAATTTTCAAATAAATATATTAATATATTTATTACAAAATAAAATATTTTTTATGTAAATAACTAATGAAATATATATATAAAAAAAATAAAAAAATAAAAACCTTAGGGAAAAGGGTCAAATAGGCCCTCGAACTTTAACTTAAAAGTCAATTAGGCCCCTAAACTCTTTAAAAGTGCAATTACACCCATCAACAATTCATTTAGGTGCAATGAAGTCCAAAAACAAGTTAATGACCTGCTATCACAGGTCATTAGGGTTCAGGCCACCTTCCGGCAAAATTTTCGGCAAAAAAAAAAAAAAAAAAGTGACCGGCGGCGACCGTTAGTCGGTCGCCGGTCACTTTTTTTTTTTTTTGCCGGAAATTTCGCCAGTCGGTCGCCGATCACATTTTTTTTGCTGAAAATTTCGCCGGAAGGTGGCCTGAAACCTAATGACTTGTGATAGCAGGTCATTAACTTGTTTTTGGGCTTCATTGCATCTAAATGAATTGTTGATGGGTGTAATTGCACCTTTAAAAAGTTTAGGGGTCTAATTGACTTTTAAGCTAAAGTTCGAGGGCATATTTAACCCTTTTTCCAAAAACTTATTATATTATTATATTACAGTGTAAATATATTAATTATTTTTAATTGAAATTTGAACATGTAGATTTAGATTGATTGAGTGATACATAAGTTTATATTTATTATCGTGAATGCGCTAGTTAAAAATAAAAAAAAAAAAAAAATTAGTTGAGCCCATAAGATTGTGCAAATTTTACGGTGGACCATGGCCCATGTAGCAGTGTGGATCATAAAGTAAGTATCATTCTAATTACACTTAAGTTTCATTTGACAATATTATTTTGTTTTGTTAGTTTTATTTTTCACACACTAGTTTCAGTATACAATATCAAAGTATCATTTTAATTATACTACAGTTTCATTCGACAATATATATTATATTGTTGCATGAACTCTATGTTTTAGTTTGTTTTCAACACACACTAGTTTAATTATCTTAATGTTGAAGTATTATTTTAATTACACTCAAAGTTCATTTGACAATATATGCATGTAATTGTATAGGCTTTGAATTTTAGTTTCATTTTTTGTTTCCCAAACAATAGTTTCATTATAACAAATACTAATGCATCATTTAAATTATATTACAGTTTTATTTGCAATATATGTTATTAAATGAGCTATGTTTTTAAATTTATTTTTTCACACATACTAATTTCATTATATTAACAATAAAATATCATTTTAATTAAATTATAGTTTAATTTGACAATCATAATCCACACAATGTTGACAAATAAGTTTGATAGTCGTCTGATAAAGTCAGTCTAAAATGACCAATTGATGACATCCCTACTTTTTCATCCCGATTCCGCTCCAACAGGCTTTTCTATCCAAAAAAAAAAAAAAAAAAAAAAAAAAAAAAAACGTTGATAACAACTATGGTCTTAGGAAGTAGATGAAACCAAACTTCAATATCTATCTCACCAACTTGGTTTAATTTAGATGACAGAGATCAGATGTCGGCTACCTCTGAATAATTTCAATCTATTATGGTCCAAAAACAGCGCCACTTTGATTTGATGTTGAATTATGACAACGTTTCGGCTATTGATCTTCTTTATACTCTTCTAAATATCACACCTACCGCAAACTAACTTGTAACTCAATATGCAGATGACGCCTCTGGAATACCAAAATGGCGTGAGTGCTCGAATCAAAACTGCTAAGATGTAATAAGTTTCTGGGTATCCCCCTTCCAATTGATATAAAAAAAAAAAAAACTTGTAACTCAATACAAATCTGTGTGATTCTTTTAAATGAGAGATCATAGGTTCAATTATTGACTTTTTGTGGAGCAAATACTAATTTTGGTCCCACAAGTATATGTAAAATGACAGTTTTGGTTCACATGTTTAATTCATATTAATTTTAATCCACGATTATTGTTTTACTATCAATTTTCATCCACGACTATTGTTTTAGTGACAAAAATCATCGCGTCAGTCACTCCTTCGTTTAAGACGTGCTGAAATATGAAATTATGAAGTGTATTTTCGTCCTTTTCAAATTAAGATCTCAATTTGAACATGAATAAAGGAATTTTAGCCCTAAGATCGATCCCAATTCACAATTCTCCTCCTCAAATTAAAGTAGAGTGAAGAGGAGAATTGCGAATTGGGATCGATCTTAGGACTTAAATATCTTTATTCATGCTCGAATTGGGATCTAAATCTTAAGTTGAAAATGACGAAAATACCCTTAAAATTTTTAGATTTCGACATGTCTTAAACGGATGTGTGCCTGGCGTGATAAATTTTAACACTAAAATAATAGTTGTGGATGAAAATTGGTACTAAAATAATAGTCGTGGATGAAAATTAGTAGGAATTAAACATGTGGACCAAAATTGTCATTTTGTTAATACTCGTGAGACCGAAATTGGTATTTGCTCATTTTTTGTGTATCAATAAGTTAAGAAACTAAAGTATATATATGGGGTGTTGGGATGAAGTAAAATATTTGTGAGGGGAAAATAAAAATGGCACATGGGAGGCAAGTAAAGGAGTGGTATAGTAGGTGTCGTATGTCATGTGCTTAGGTATGGAATAGTGAACAAAGTCTCGTGGGTATCCTAACATCTGATTGCATACCTAAGCTGTGCTATCTCTTTGCCATGTGAGACCACTTTGGCAAAATTAGGTCTGTCTCAAGTGACCTACTTTTTGGTGGACAAAAGGTTCAGTAATTGGATGCTATAAATGAATGTATAATAATGTATATATTAGGTTTTAGTACTTTGATTTGTCGATTTTGTCTCGAGTAGAGACAACCAACGTATAGTAAAACCGCCGCGCACTTATTTTTTTGTATGGTCTTCATTCATTTTTCTTGTACCTAATTTTTCATCCCATCTCGATCTATGCACTATAAATCTAATTTGGTATTCATTCAGGGTCGTTACGTTGTTGAGTTCGAATACCAATGAAAACACTGCGCATTTGATATGATTGATGAAATTAATTCAATCAGGAGTGATGTTTATAGTGCCACATACATTTGTAAGGAAGAATATGCAGACATTAATTTATAAGACATAGGTTTAATTTTAACCTGAACAAAATGGAGTCTGATCTTTTTGGGCTTAGGCAAGTCAAATTATACTCTTGTGTGTGTGTATCTGTACATATTCATTATTATGAGGGCACGAACTAATTAAATATTTTGTAGAGCTTTCGGTGGGGTGCAGCTAGCTTATGCAATGTGTTAGACGGATGTTTGGAGAATCGAGTTCAGCATTTTGTCGTCAAGTATATAAAATGTATAATGGTGCATTCACTACTAGCTAGTATATGATTATAACTTTTGACATAGTGCATCAGAACATGTCACATGTTTGAATCCCATTGAAAGCATATAATAATGTGAAGCGCTTGATCATGATATAGTGATTAGTCGTCCCAAAGTTGAGTAGTCTTTTTTTTAGTGACGAGGGAAACCCTCAATTGTGGACAGTATTTTTTATGTTGTCAAAGAGTTGAACAATGAAAATAGATGGCGAGTGCCTGATCGAATTGATCAGGTCATGTAGGAACAAGGTTCAAGTCTACCGGTCTGTTAGGATGCCTCAGCTGCATACATCACTGCACTTCCACTTGACACCTATCGTAATGATAAACGGCTCGTCTCGCCGTGACCTTCTCCTGAATTCTCAAAAAAAACTTCTGTCGCTCCATCCCCGCAGGGGCAGAGAACCCGTCGCTGTCTCGGCTGTGCTATATATAATAGTAAAATAATGTTTCAAGGGTTTTTAGTAGTTAGTATTAGTACATACCATTAAATTTTATAAAAATAAATGCAAGACAACCTAATCAATTTGGTCAAATTGTTAACTTAGTATTTACTACAAGTTAAACTCTCATCTGGAGCCGCTCCACAACCAAGTTAATTTGAGTCAGATCAGCTAGCTTTATACGTACAAATAGTTCATCATTTTACGTTGCTGCTTTAGTGAAAGTGAAAATAATTACCAACTTCTTATAAGCAAAAATAAGTGAAGTGCACACTTTTCTGTCACTTTTATGTGGCCAATCGCACATATTTTACAATATAATATTGAAATAGATGAAATAAGCCCGTTAAGTCTAATTGCCATGCCAAAGAATGAGCTCTCCACAATCAAGCTACAAATCAATTCAAACTTGTTTTAGAAAAGTTAAAAATATGCAATAATAGTTATTCATCTGAAATATTAAAGTATAAAAAAAGAAAAGGCATTTACAAATAGTAAGAATTGAAGAAAAGGGAAAAGCCATTTGAATTCTAAGGATTTTTAAAACCTTTCTATGTTGGTATATAGAAATTTTTTAGCTCAAATATTGTATTGTGAAATTAATTAAACAAAATAACAATTTAATTAACAAATTTTACATGAACATTTTTATATTTTTTTAACATTGTTATTTATTTAGTCGATTAATAAGAACCTGATAGAAATCTTTTTGTATCTATTTCAATTTTGAATTACAATACAATTACTTAATTTCTTCACGATCTAAAAGCTAAGTCACTTGCGTAAATTTGATTGGGAACTGGGAAATAGAAATTAAACTTCTTCACGATCTAAAAGCTAAGTCACTTGCGTAAATTTGATTGAGAACTGGGAAATAGAAATTAAACTATGGTGTGAACCAAAAAATGGATATATATTATATATATAATAAAGTTTCCTTAAATGAGTGTCTGAGACACAACATATAACAGGTCACAAATAACGGCAAAAGTACAAACTACATTTTTGTTTAATATGCATTTAATTTAATTTGGAAATCGGTAAAAGTTGACAATTTCTTTAGAGCGATTCGATTAATCCCGTCCGCAGCTTGCCTGAATAGCCAGAGCCTTGGTAATGTCGGGGCAGGGATCCTTGCCTTCCTCGTCAAACGCATTTCTGTCTATTGAAACCGTGCACCGGCGTTTCCCCAGGCACTTCTCCTCGACAACTTTAAGGCTGTTGGGCGAAGTGCAGTTTCCGGCGAAGTAGTTTCCGCACGCGCCGTCAGGGTCACCGAAGCTGGCGAACTCAATTTTCTTGATAATTTTGTCGTCGGGGCAGGTCAGACGTGCGCCGGGTTTCAAATCTTCCACCGCCGGCCGGAACTCGTTCCCGTTTCTCTCCCAAGACTTCACGGGCGGCGACGCGTACTCCGGGATCATGCTGCAGATCGTGTCCCGGTACACTGTCTGGACCACTATGGCTTCTGGGTTCCCACCGGTTTCCTCCAAGATAACCAACAGATTGTCTTCGGGTTTCAAGAACGCTCTTGGAATGTGATACTCGATTTGAGTGGGTTTCCCGATTGGGGAGAGGTAAGAGACCCAGTAACGACCGATGTTATTGCCGTTCACCCAAATCATACCCTTCTCCATGCCTTCCATTCCCAAGGCTACTGGGTTTTTGCCCTCTGGTTCATCAAAAGATGTCTGCATGCATGCATGCAACGTAAAATTAGTTATTCCAATCCATCATATCATGTCGTAGGTAATGTTCCATGAATTAATTTACGTACCTTGAACCAAGTAAGGGCCCCGGATTTCTTCGACGAAAATGGAGTCCACGTCACCTTCTTGGCGCCCTCTTCTGTGAACAACTCGAGCTTTTCTCCCGAAAGACCCACCTGCAGTGATTAGTAGAAGAAACCCAAAGTTCAATATGGTAAAAATTAAAACGGGGTAAAATATAAGAGTCAATGTAATATAATATCTTGGGTTCTCCTTAAAGACGTACCGAATGGGACCAGTGGTTACGGGTTATATCCAGGGTTCCATCCATCAAACCTTGGAGTATTATGAATCTTGGTCCAGCAAATCTCTTCTCCATGTAGGCTCCGCTATTCTGTACTCATCATTCATAAACAATAAACATCATGCCCGCACGTTAATACTGAGTATTAACAACATAGTATATATATATTTACCGGGAGTCCAACTGTCGTGCCCAATATTGTGATGTCATTATGCCCAGGCTTCAAGGTTATAGGATTCCGGAACACAAATTTCTTCTCAATGAAGTCTCCATGCTTGTACCCTTGTACCATTCCAAAAACAATCAATATACATATAATAATCATATATAATTAAATAATGAAACTATATATATATATATATATTTACCAATGTATTCGCCATTGACGAATGCTAGCAATGCATGGCCAAGGCTGTCAATCTGGAGGACTGGAAGGATGTCTTTCCTCATGGGCAAATCACGGCGGCTTAAATCAATTCTGTCACACACGTACGTACGTTAATTCATTGTCTGAGATTGCATGCATGCATGCAATTATTCAACAACATAAGCCAATTCAACAACCTAGGATCCCTCGAGAGTAAGTGAAATTACATACCTAGTGCTGTACCAGACGTAATCAGTGGTATCTTTTGCCAATGTGTAGTGCTCACGTGGGACCTGGTTCTTGATTGGCAAGTTTTCAACGGTTGGGATGCTTTCTTGGTACATCTCCCATTTCAGATTGGTTGCAACTTTTGAAGCATGGAAGTTCCTTGCATTGTGTTGTGCAACTACCTGCAATCTCCACACTGGTTATTAACTGAACCAGATATATAAAATAAATTTTGTACGTACCGTATGAGTATTGTAAACGACAGTCTTGCAATCAGGGAGAATGCTGACGGACTTTTCGGGCAGGTAGTACTTGGCACCTCTGAAATCAATGGTGGTCGAGTTTTGTGTGTTGTTGTTGGTCAAGAAGGCGGCGCAAATTTTCATTTCTGGGTTCTCATAAACTATGATCTGTTGTTCAAATTTTTAATGATGTTAAAATTTGCAGAGATGGGAAATTAACTAATTAATCATTCAATCAAATTAATTATATTAATTACCTCAATATCCTTACTAGCCTTCTCCACAGTTCGGTTTCCCCAAAGCACAGGCTTCTTGGCCAATTTAATTGCTCTGTGCACATCTCTTAGGTGGCTCCATTTTGGCTCTCTCCTCAAACCTGAAATTTTGTTTTACAAGGTTGAGTCATTGTGATTCTTTGCAAATAAGCCAAGGATGGTCGGGATTTTTCCAGTGCACACATACAGGTAATGGCTATAGGTTTCTAGGCTTTTAATTGAAGTGAAATGTAGAAATTAGGGGCTTACCAAATTCATCAAGGGGTGCTTCATCGTAATACCTAGTGGCTACGAATGCTGAGGTTGTTCTACCAAAACTTGTTCCACCATAGTACATGTAATAGTTGACGAGGCTGCCGCCGATGGCGAAAAAGCGAGCGACGGAAAACGCAATATCTTCGGCGGCCCTTTGAGACGGAGGGTCCCCGAAAACCCTATATTGAGCCGTCCAGTTTTCCGTCCACAACAAAGGCTTGTCGTCGCCATTAGGGCCTTGGAATGTATCTGCGCAGTGCCTTCCGTTACATGCGCTAATCTGCATGCATGCACCCATCCAAAATCAAAATGATTTTCATAAACTTATTAGACATATTATTAGATCAGAGAAATTTAACTAACCACAGTATGAGGGGCTTCCTTTTGCTTGCACATGATCCATGGGACTTCATTGTATAGACCAACAGCCATATCTGCTGACCACTTAATATATTTCTTCCCATTTTCCCTATATGCCAGTTGCACATTTCCGTACTCGTTTTCGATCTGTTGTAATATTACACGACAATCAGTCACTAATACGAGAATATGCACTAATAAAACTTCGAGGTAAAAGTTACCTACCTGGGCCATAATGATGGGGCCACCTTGTGGGGCGAATAGCTTTTCTTTTTTCATCAAATCGATGATCATTGTGACGTATCTCTTCATGTGGGCCATGAAAGGTTCATTATATGAACGGAAAATGATGTCAGGAACCTCCCTAAGCCAGTAAGGGAACCCTCCGAAATTCCATTCCGCCTCCAGATAAGGTCCGACCCTAAGCGTGACGTACAACCCTTCCTCTCCGATCAGCTTTATGAACTTCACCAAATCGTTGTTGCCCTCAAAGTTGAACTGCCCTTCCACTGGTTCGTGAAGGTTCCAGAACACGTATGTCTGGATCGTATTCAAGCCGCCTTTTTTAGCTTCCTTTATGATCTGCGGCCACATCTCCGGCGGGCTACGGGGATAGTGAATGGAGCCGGAGAAGAGAAGCTCTCTGGTCCCGTCGATGATCAACGACTTCCGGTCATATGTCACGTTCCGGGGAACGCCGGCCATTGCCGACACGACCAACAAGGAAGCCACGGCCAACAACAGAATCTCACGTGGTTGAGCCATGTTTTTTTTTTCTTCTCTGTTTATTATCAATACTATATTCTTATGTTTTCGTTTTTTGGTTCCTGGTGATGCACTGGAACCAAACCGACGAAAAGAAACCAAAACAGAAGCTAAAGCACCTCGTCGCTAAGTGGAGGAAGTGCTTTAACTAATTTATTGAACCAATTGCCGATGATGATAGAGCTGATGGGCTTCTGATCTATTTATAATAGAAGAAGATTAATCAAGAACACATGCATCCTGAGATGTTTCGGGTCATCCACACATTGTTTGCTTGTTACTGTTTAGTGGATGCCCGTTTTTCTCTGGGTTTCTATTGCTTTATGTCCATGTATTTTCCCTAGAATTCTGCTCATTATCTTGACCATGTTTTTCATATGAAATTTTAAAATAGCTTGTATATATATTTATAATAGAGTTTAAAAAGTTAGTTCTATTGGTTAAAGATGATTTTTAATAGATTAGATATATCATAAAGTCGGGTAGATATCGGGGAATGAGTTTTAAAATAATATTGAATTAATAGGTCCACAACCCTTAAAATAAAGTAATCGGACTACAAGAGTTAGGAATAAAGGTATAATTTAATATACGAAATGTATATTGTTTTTGTACTGTATGTACATTATATAATATAATGTACATTTAGTACAAAAATAATGTACATTTTATGAATACATTGTATATTATTTTTGTATTAAATGTACATTATTTTACAATATATAAAATATGGTTCATACAACTTGTATGGACCATGGTCCACAGAATAATGATCGTATAGTTTAGGTGCAATCTCAATCGTTATGCTCTGGACCCGTGTCCAGCATGCATGCTGGACACGGTAACACGGCACTGTTATCTCTTTTTTTTTTTTGTTTTTTTTTGTTTTTAATTTCAGATTCGTTATAGGAGTATATGTTCATAATTTTATTACTATATGTTTATAATTGTAAGTTCATAATGTTATAGCTCTATGTTCATAATTCAATAACTGTACATTCATACTTCCACAACTGTACATTCATAATTCCGTAACTGTACATTCATAATTCAATAACTGTAACTTCATAATTTTCGAAGCTCTATGTTCACAATTTTAGAGCTCTATGTTCATAATTTTATCACTATATGTTCATATTGTAAGTTCATAATTTCATAACTGTATATTCATAATTGCATAACTGTACATTCATAATTCCGTAACTGTACATTCATAATTCAATAACTGTAAAATCATAATTTTCAAAGCTTTATGTTCACAATTTTAGAGCTCTATGTTCATAATTTTATCACTATATGTTCATAATTGTAAGTTAATAATGTCAGAATTCTGTATTTATAATTTTATAACTTACATTAATAATGTCATAACTGTACATTCATAATGCCATAACTGTACATTCATAATTCCATAACTGTACATTTATAATAGCACAAACGAATAACATCGTTAATGCCGTTAACGTCGAGACAAAATCAATTTTTTTTAAAACTAGAATGACGCAATTTTTCTTAAAAACAACGTCGTTTTAGACTCGTGTCCACAATACATTGTGGACACGGGTCCAGGGCATAATTTGCCGTGCAATCTATGTTGGGCCAAGCCCACGTAGTACGTGTAATTAACCGCAAATCTGAAATAAAATTTACTGCCTCAAAATTTCCCTCCAAACTTCAAATCTCCCTCCGAGCCATCACTATAAACCCTATTCTGCAACCGGCTTCCCAGATTCCTTTCCTCTCTGATTACTGATTTCTCATTCATTTCAAAGCTAAAAAATGTCGGATCAAGAAGACTTGGCTCTCCTCCTTTCACTCGAAGATAGGGTTTTGGAAACCCCTCCGGCATCTCCCTCATCCCACTCTCCAGGTGTTGTTTCTAGGAATTTTTAATCCTTTTACATTTATCCATATCTTAAAAATTGGTCTGCTGATTTTCCCTGCCGGGGTCCTTTTTGTAGATTACCTATCGGATGATGAGCGACCTAAGCGAGTTGGGCAGACGGACATGTCTGTCTTCCGAGTTGCGGTTCAGGATTGTCTTGATTACGATACTGAAACTGCTAAGAAGGCTCTCAAATCTAAACCCAATATTTCCAAGGCATCAAATGATTCGGAGGTGGAAAAGTTTTCTGGTTTACGGATTCGGTAAGTTATTGATATGTGCACATTAGATTGTTTCAAAAACAAAGTTTTTTTTTTTTTTTTTTTTTTTTTTTTTTTTTTTTTTGTATTGTTAATTGAGGCCTAGTGTTCCACCATGCTTTTTGGCTCAGGAATCAATTAGTCTCACCGCTTGAGCTGAGCAACCGCTTTTCTGATATCCGATTTGTTCGATTACCAGCAATAAAGTAAGTGAAATGTTTGTATAAGTTCATAAAATGCTCTGTTGTTTAATTGCATTGTAGATGGTGATAGACTTCATGCCTATGTCTTAGGAATTTGCTATCAGGAGATACCCTCTCAGGGTGTTGGGCAACTGTTGGGGTCCTAACTGAGATGGGACAACCGAGGACTAGCTCTACTGGAAAGCCCTATGCAATTTGGAAAATGGGATGCTTGAAAGAAAATACTGTTTCAGTATTTTTGTTTGGCGATGCTTATCAGAGGAATAGCAATGAGAAGGCTGGGGCTGTGTTTGCCCTTTTCAATTGCGGTGTCCGCAATGATAATTCGGTGCCATTATTAAACTTTTTTATTTTTCATTGTTTTTATTAAGGGATAACTTGTAAAAACTCTAACTTTATGTTTCTTATATAGGAGAATGGCTTTTCGTTGAGTGTATATTCTGCAAGTAACATCTTAAAGATCGGCACTTCTGTTGATTATGGAGTTTGCAAGGGGAAAAGGAAAGATGGAATGGCTTGCACACTAGTCATTAATAAGTATGTGGTCTCTTACGCTGTACTTTATACTCTAATACTTGTGTTTCTAAGTATATTTGCATTTTCTAGTCTAGTCAATAAATGTGTTGAGTTTTCCACCAAAGCATACTCTATTGTAGCAAAGATTCAGGCATATAATGTGTTATCCTCTTACCATCTAATTATGGGTATTCATCAACTTCTTGTAACAGAACTCGTTTTGTACCTTTTCTTGCTTATGTAGAATCTTATGTTCCATTGTTTCTTGATAAAATCAAGAGCTGTTGTGTTGATTTTAGGAGTTGTATCTCTTTGTAATATGAATTATCTCTCATTACTTATGAAGTCATTTACACTTGCAGACGTAATGGTATATATTGCAGCTACCATAGACAGGTAATTTAAATAATGTTTACAATAGTCTCAATCAAAATAGACTAGTGCTATTTTCTAATGTTTGTTCTTTCAGAAAACATCAGAGAAGTACTCTGTCACAAGGACCGAACTCAAGGGAGGGTGGGCAACGCTCTTGTCATTGCAATGAAAAATAAAGTGCTTTGTTTTAGTCCCCCACCCCAATTCCATTTATTAAATGTCTTGTAATTTTTATTATCAGGAACCTAAGAACTGCTTTTAGGGGTCCTCTCAAATCAGAAGGGATCTATATGGTTGACCCTTTAGCTGACAAAACAAACTTAGCAAAGAACAAAGCAGTGAAATTATTTTCTGCAGAACAACTAAAAGAAGCTTTGAGGTTTGTTCAAGATTCCTAGTCATATCTATCTTGACATACAATCATCTAAGTGACCAACACATTCTGATGGCAAACTGTTCAGTAGATTTCATTATCTCTTATTTAAGCAATCTTATCTGACTTTTAAACTGGATTAAAGCACTTTTATCTGTCTTAAGGTATGATTGCCTTGTAGTCTCTTCTGATGCTGAAAAATGTATTAATGCACAGTAAAGCAGGGAAAGTGACTACAAATGCGTATTCGCAGGGAATTCGATTTCTTAATAAGATTACAGGTCTGGCTTTGGTTACTTCTCATATTTACTATACATACAAAACCATACTTGACCATTTGTCCTGGTGTTATTGTACCACAGAAGAATCAAAAAGTTCCAAAGAATTTTCTACTGCACAGAGTCAACGAATAAGCAAGACAAGTGAAAGGTAAAAGTCAGGTTGCTGCAAGTCCATTCTTGCAATACTGTCTAGTGCATTTCGATTTTGCTAAATGTTTTATGTTGTTTCAGGATATCAACTAAAAGAAAGAATCCAACTCAAGTCAAAACAGGTGAAGTGCATGTGCATAGCAAGAGATCAAAATCACATGAAGGAACAGATAGAGTAAAAGAAGTGCAGGTTAAAGAGAAAATGATAGAACTAGACATTGTAAGCTCAGATGATGAACTCTAGAATTCCCTGATTTTGCATTGTGCCCCTCGCGACACAATTATTTGTCATAGCTGTAGATAATTTTTTTATTGGAATTTTTATGACATTGTATGTGTACAATTTAGAGATTAAGCTGGTAATTCAGCATACATTTATTGATGTACTTTTTTTTGTTTTTTGTTTTTTACATAATCATCATTTATACATTCTCATTGTTATGTTACACATTATGTTACATCATTCACTTATCACTCATCATTTTTTCACTTTTGAGTATTCGACCAGTATCAAACTTGTCTCTGGCTTATCTTTCCTTGTGGCTATTTGATATTTCAAGGTAATTCTACTCTATTGCTTATGCAATTCCTCAGTTGTGACTGCACATATTTAGTTTATTTTGAAAACAAAATCTTGTATAATTTATTACTTTCTCTAGCATTTATGCTCATCTGTTGCACTGTTTTCTCTTTGACATGGAATGTTGTGCAACATGGGGAACTCTGATTATAATGGTTGAATATCTTTTATAGTATTTATTGTTGTTTCTAGGGATTCCTTTCATGCATGGATATCATAGTTGGATCTGGTTAGGTTTTCTGTTTATTGGTTTCAGTCTTACTGCAAACTTGCTGGTGGTTAGTTTTTTTTTTGTTTTTTTTTTTTAATGGGATAACTTGATTAAAATGGACAATGGTGAGCTTGAATTTTATAACCAAGAGATGCTGTCATGACCAAATTTTGGTGAATTTCCAGACTGTAACTCTTTTCATAGCTTTCTGAATGACTGAAGGTAAAATTGGATATTTTCCATATCAGAAGCCAGTGAAGGGTGGAGAGGTTTGTTAGAACCTTGCCATTCATAACCCTTTCTGAAGCCATATGTCATGACCCCCTGTAATATTCATTGTGGAGATCAGGTCCACTGCCTACATGGAAGTACAGAAGGGAAAATTTCATAATATAATGATTGTAGCTTTGAGAATCTGCAATGTTTGAGCAATGATTCTTCTGGACTGAAGGAGCTTCCTGGGTGTGGATTGCTCAATAGCTTTTCTACTGCCAATGCTTCTAATCTAAATGGGATAAGATAAAAGGTAACAACTTTACTTGTTTATTTTCAGTATGTGACAACTGTAGAAGTAAATCCCCATTGAATTTGGCTTTGTTATAGCTAATTCCTGGGCACACATTTAAATAAAAAAGCAACATTATAAAAATGGTCAAATAAGCCTCTAAATTTTATACGATAAATCAATCAAATCCCTGAAGTTTTAAAAGTAGTTGTAATTAAACTCATCAATATGTTATTCTTTTGCATTGAAACCTAAAGATTGGTTATTGACCTTCACTAGTCTTGAGAGACTCCAACGACTAAAATCGGTGATTAGCAATTGACAAACGGTTGTTGGTTGTCTTCTATGTTGGAATAGTCGACCAAGTCTTTTCCGTGGAGAAGGTGACCAGAAGGCAAATTGAAACTCCAGTAACACCGCTATTATATGTCAAATGTCAATAATTAATTTTTGAACTATGCAGTATTTTTTATTACAAATGAAGGGGATACCCACATATACAATCGCTTGAACCTTAGACTTCCTATAAGGGAGCAACCGGATACCACTATACCAGTGGACCCAAGTAATATTACATATATTCTAAGGTTGATTAGTGTGTGATGTACATTAAAATTTTCTGGTTCTGTTTTCTTTGCGCTTTACAGAACAACAAAGTTGAGTATGCAGAAATGTTTTCAAAAGCAAAAAAAGCAAGATGGATACTCTTCCCAACTTTAACCACCTTTACCAAACCAGTATTTGACTATGAAACATCACTACAAAGCAAATCCTATAATTAACTAATCAAGATTTACATTACATGACAACGCAGGCGGCAGGGTTATCATCACTGAAGGCGGTGGTGTAGCGAACTTCAGTGGAGGAGGCGCGTGCGAGCTGGTAAACGTGCGGATCCTCCGCCTTCCGCACGTACCCCGCCGGAGCCTTCTTGTCGTACACCCCCGGCGCATACGGATGCGCGACCACGTCGTACGGAACGTAGGGCCAAAGCTCCACCTTCTTGCCGGTCCGGTGAGCCACGCGAGCCACCACCCTCTCCGGATCCACGTAGCCCACCACGGTGAGCTTGTGCTGCTTCGGCTCAACCTGGGTTGACGTCACCCCCTTCATTCCCTCCACCGACCTCCGAACTTTCCTCTCGCACCCTTCGCAGTCCATCTTCACTCTCATCTCCACCGTCTGCTCACATACACATATATAAAGTTGGGTTATATCTCCGCCGGAAAATCAAGAATTTATATATATATATATATATATACCTGCAGTTGTCGGCGCTTCTTGTAGCGGCGGCGGTAGTGGCGGCCGGAAGAGCAATCAAACATGTCAGAAAGATGATCAAGAATCCCCATTCTTATTTGTAAACTATTAACGATTATACAGCAAGGAAGAAACTATAGATACTTCGTAAAGGCAATATAATGAATGATATGCAGAGAGAGAGAGAGCGCGGTGTTATATAGTGTGGGCTGAGGTTTGAAACCTTGAAATCCACGGTGAGAGTGATGGGGAAGGGGCACGTGGGGTTTGGTGATTGGCTGGAGTGTCAGATAACACTGCACCGCCCACGCTTGACTACTGTGCATCGATTTGAGTTAGCTGGTCCGAGTCTTCGGAGTAAGGGAGCGTTACTTACATAACTCCCATGACCGCCCACTTGACAAGCTGTATGGGGACAGAATCTTTAAAGATAAAGCATTAAAGGTTATGATATAGACAAATTTTCTTGATTTACTATTGGATAAAGGCTTCACTTGGGTCCCCCAACCCAACCACTAAACTAACTATTTTTTTCAAAAGGTTGAATCTCAATTTCAAGAATCCTACACTCTAATTCCAAAAGTCATTTTTCATGTTTTCGAATACACTCTTATTGTGGGCCGTAGTCCATGTAACATGGATCGCAAAGGAAATGATGTCGTATCATTTTAATTAAACTTCATATTCATTTTACAAATACTTTGTTTTTTTAGTTTCATTTTGCACGCACGTTAGTTTCATTATAACAACACTAAAGTATCATTTTAGTACTACTACAGTTTCATTTGACATTATACGTTATTGCATGAGCTTTGTTTTTCAGTTTCATTTTAGCAACACTCAAGTATCATTTTTTAAAAGGAAAGTTCAATACTTTATTAAATCATTGAAGCAATACAAGGAGGAATACTTTATTAAATCATTGAAGCAATACAAGGAGGAACACTACCCAACCAAATAGAAGAACCAGAACGGGCTAACCTTGGCATAATATGGCTAGCTTATTCACTGATATAGAACAAACTGAATAGACACTGAAACAAAGTGTCGTTTGAGATCATAACAATCACGAATAGCACAACCCGCAAAAGAATAATCCATAGAAACATGGTTGAGCATGGTAAACCGAATGATGGATTAGTATGTAGGGTAGTTGTTTGGACTTTTGTAATAGAATAAGAGTATGGTAAATCGAATGATGGATTCTTATTTGATTATATATATATATATATATATATATATATATATATATATATATATATATATATATATATTGTTCTGATACCATGAGTTGCGTTTTCGACTATACCGTATCCCCTAGAAAACGCATTAAGGTAATGCGTTTTACGTATACGAATACGTAAATGCAACTACTAGTTGCGTTTTACGTAAATACAGGAAAAAAAATACGCCGGGACACAACCAAAAACGCAACTCCCAAAGGAGTTTTGCAGAGTTTTTTGCACTTTTAGTCCCACGACTATAGTGGCACTGGAAGAATTGATCCACGACTTTTGAACCTTGCAAGTTTAGTCCACGACTATTGATTTTTTTGCAAAAATGGTCCTTCAGGCCACTTTTCCGTCAAAATTTCACCGGAAAAAAAAAATTCTCTATTTTTAGTCGGGTTAAAATTGACATTTTAGTTATCCCAAAAAATTAAAAGAAAAAAATTGATATTTGACTACATACAATATTACTAGGATACATACTACTGCCTCAGGCTGCGGAGTACATGTACCACTCTAATGCTGCTGCCGGATAACCCAACTAGCCCGGGGAACGTCACGGCCGCTCCGTCGCTTACTGACAGCCCTGCCTGCTCCAGGAACTTCGCCGCCTGGGCAGTAGTATGTAGCCCAGGACCATTTTTGCAAAAAAATCAATAGTCGTGGACTAAAATTGCAAGGTTCAAAAGTCGTGGATCAATTCTGTCAGTGCCACTATAGTCGTGGGACTAAAAGTGCAAAAAACTCGAGTTTTGCACATTCATGTCAAAAAAAAACGCGACACATTTTGGGAAATACCAGCTGTTGACTACACATTTCGGTCATTGATCCTATATGCAATATAATTGACTTCATCCAAGTTAATACTTTGATTTGTGATATATATATTGCTCTGATATCACACAATGCACGCTCGGTACACGCACACCACAAAGTGTTTGAGATTGAAATATTTGATAGGTTTCAAATGTTAGATTTTTTTTTAATAAAAAACTTACTTTGTGGTGTGCGTGTACCGAGCGTGCATTGTGTGATATCAGAGCAATATATATATATATATATATATATATATATATATATATATATATATATATATATATTGCTCTGATACCATGAATTATTGTTCTGATATCAAACAATGCACGAACGGAACACGCACGATGTTATCACACGTGTGTGTTTTCAAAACGTGATTTTAGTGTTTCAGCTTTTCTTTTTATTCTTCACTCTGTTTTATTTTATGTTATTTTTGTTTTTAACGTTCTTTCTACATATATTTAGTGTTCACTGAATATTTTTAAAGTTAGTTTTAGAATTTAGTATTTATAATTTTTTAAATAACTTTTACAATTATTTTTATTTTTATTTGGAATAGTTGATGCTTTTGTTTCTACTTTCTATATATTTGGAATTACTTCGGAGTACTTTCTATAAATTTTACTTGCATTTTTATTTGATATATTTTTAAAAATTTTATTTATTACTTGCATTTTATTGTTATTCAAGTGTTACTTTCTTTCTTTCTTTTTTCGGTTTTTATAGTTTTTTAAGCGTTCTTTCTATGTATTTCTTTTAGTTTTTGTTGTGTATTTTAAGAGTTTGTTTAAGAGGTATTTTTATTGAAATATTTGATTCCGTTTATTTCTATAGGAGTATTGGCATTATTTTAGTCTGTTTTTATAAATTTTTAGGGGAAGAGATGATTGATTTTTGTTTTTTTGGGTATCCCTTCCATTTTGTTCAAAAATATTATTGAACGAGCTCTGTTTTTTTTAATTTCATTTTTGACATATACTAATTTTATTATAGCAATACTAAAATATTATTCTAATTCTACTACAATTCATTTGACGACTATGGTTTAAATCGCGTTGTGTAGACTATAGGCCCACCATATAACAACTGAAAATGTTACCCATGGATTCCAATTATTCTTTGGACCAAATTAAAAGACCATGGTCCACCATATGATTATACTTCTTGGCCCAATTGACATTGGGCTTAAGCCCCACTCCTCAATCAAGTAGTTATAAACGTTTAAAGTTTCTTAACAACTTAAAAAGATGAGAAGTATTATCGTATTCGATATTGGACTTAATTTGAAAATTTTTGGGTAAATTAAAATTTTTTAAGTAATATATATAACGTTAATCACAATACATATAATGGTTCGAAATTATGTACGACACGTCGCCTTTTATAGGTTTATTACTCCCTCTGTCACATTTTATCTGTCCTACTTACTATTCCCTGAGTCAAACTAAATCTTTTTTTTTTTGTTTATTTTCTTTAATATTTTTTTAATTATTTTTAAATTTAATTTTTTGTGTTTAATAGTACTTTTAGTGTAATTTTTAAATATATAAATTTTGTATACTAATACTAAATTTAATATTATAAAAAATTAGATTAAAAATAACTTCAATCAAGCCTCGTTAATCGAACCAATACACATAAATTTAAAATGGGACGGAGGTAGTACTTCACATTATTACAAAGGTATGGATAGTCATATAGTCCGTATATTTTAAAACTTTTTGTTTGTGTTTTTTTGTGTGCATGACACGCCGTCCGGAGTTAATATGGCCGTCCATTATATTATTGAAGTCGGCAAAACGAAGCAGAATTGAAAGAGATTTTGTTGTTTATTGGCGATGGGAATTACTCGTAGCAGGAGATGGGGAAGAAAGTCAGAGAGATAAATGAAGACGATGATGTCGAGAGACTCAGCTTCCTTGAAAGCAGGACAGCAATTTATTATGGTCAATATTTGAATTGATTAAAGAGAAAATGTATGCATGGAAGAAAACAAAGATGTTGGGTGCGTGGAATTCAAGGTTTCATACCTAGCACTTTAGCACTATTATTACTCATAAACATATAACAATTTATTATCAGTTTAGACTTTTAGTTAAAATAAAACATATGTTTCAATTTGATATCAGAATTAATCTTATACTAAAGATTATGAGATTTAATTATTCACGCGTCGCTGGAAGCCCGTCTCGCAACCTGCTTCAATTATTATTATTATTATTTTTTCCATCAGTTTGGATGGAATATAATGGTCAAAGATGGCAGTAGCCCACTTTCTCCATCTATCCCAAAACCGATCCCTCTTCTTCAATGTAGGACCCAGAAATGAAATGAAGAGATTAAGAAATTAGGGGAAGCATGCATTTCCGATAATGTTTCTATCGAAACGTTAAAAGTTAACACTGCCACCCACCCCACGTAACTATGTCACATATTCCAGTCTTTCTATCAGAAATTCATTGTTTTGCGGCACCGCATGATGTACGTTACCGGCTTTAATTTGTCCTAATCTTTGAATACAACACAATTCATTTAAGACATTATACATTACGAAAGTTGGTCATTTAAGACATGTTATTGTATAGGATTAAAGATCCAAGATTGAAAAATTATATTGTAGACCATGATTCATGTTCATTTTAATATACCAGATAATGAATTTTCAGTACGCAAAAGATAAATTTTGAAAAAATAAACACTCAATGTATTAGAAATAAACTTTTAGCATATTAAAAGGTAATCGATTGAATATAAGTATTCCACCTTACCAAGTGGATCATGGTCTATTGTACAATATTTTCCAAGGTTGGGGTGCCTTAGCTTGTGAGAGTGCGAAGCGATGTTGGGGAGTTAGTGGATCAAATAAATGGCTACATAATCTGTTACAATTTATAAGAGGACAGTTGTTAGAAGTTGTTGGCAGGTAATTTGAAAGAATAACAAGCAAGAAGTAGCAAGGGGAAGTTGGGAGATATGGAAGTGGTTATTAGCAACTCTCAAGTTCGGCGGCGAAAAATGAGAGAGTAGAGAGACGGGAAAATCAATTATTTAAAAAAAAATGTTCCGACTAAAAATTTAGAAAGATAATTTTTGTTAAATTAAGTCTTTTTTCTGTTGATCAGAATGATTATTATGCATTGACCTTATTGCCTTGAGTACTCAAATATAAGAAAATCTAAAT